TTGTAGTGTGTGTGTGTGTGTGTGTGTGTGTGTGTGTGTGTGTGTGTGTGTGTTTGTATTTAAAATGAAATAAATATACATTTGATGGAAGCAAAAAAAATTTTAATTCGAGTGCAGCAATAAAAAAGTAGACCTTATAAGTTTAATTAAAAAGAACAGGTCTATTGTATGATAACATTAAAACTGATTTTCAGATATTAAATATCACATATAGATGTTGCTTCTTCGTTTCTTTATTGATTTTAATTTTGTCAATATATTGAACAACTTTTATAAAAAGTAAAAATAATATTCTATTTCAGTTAAAGTTAACGTTATAAATATGTTAACATTAAATTTGCTTATTAAATTATATCAAAGTATTACGTTTCTTGCATTAATTTATTACATAATATTTGCGTAACTTTTTAATATATTCGTTTAATATATTCGTTTGTGTAAAATTAATATAAAAATTGGGATGAACCGTTTTAGGATATGCGAAATGTGTTATATTTAGCACAAAATTTTTTATTATGTAGAAAACACATATACATATATTTATACATAAAATCACTTAAAATACACGTTCTATTTTTTTCTTCAAATAACATCATGTCCTAAATTAAACTGGAAATACTACGGTGCGAAGTTGTAATTAAACAGTTATATATATTTAGCATATATCAAAGAAATTTTTTAGTATAATATGTAGTATATAGTATAATATGTGCATGAAATAATTTTATATTAGTATTCATTAAAATATTTTATGATAGTATAAACATAAGCTTCAAATAGCCTTACTCTATCTTACTCTATGTGTTTGTGTTATTATAAAACATTCTAATAATATATATAAATATATATACGTATGTGATACACTCGTGAAAATTATATAGAAATTACATAGAAATTTGCCAAAAAATGTTATACATAAGCTATTTTCTAATTAATGCTGCAAACAAAAAAAATGTTTTAATCAAGAATAAAAAATCGTTATATCGTTCTTTTTAACAAAATGTGTTTTTTCGATTATAAATATATTCAATTATAATGAAGATACTTTTTCTGATGCATTATTTTATGAAATCAGTGTATTACGTTTTGTAAACGTCCACAATCCTTTCTATCACTTCCCGGTCTTTTAAATATTAGCGAGCAAATTAAATATTACGGTTAAATATTACGTCAGTAATATTAATAACCTGCATATTCAACCTGCATATCATAAAAAAAAAATTTTTATCAATAAATTTAAAATAAAAAAAATAAAATGAGGATAGCAGTTATATCCAATGTTTCAGTTAATGTTTTTTTACTTAATTATATTCTGTTTTGTGTACGTGTGTTTTGTGTATGTGTATGCGTTTGTGTGTGTGTATAAGTATGTATGAATGAATACGTGTATGTGTGTGTGCTCGTGCTGTGTGTATACGTATGCGTTTGTGTGGCCTGTGTTACAATTGCTGCTTGCTCATTCGATGTCGATGTCGATGATTCCAATATTCTGTCGTCTTTTCCGTGGATCAAAAATCTTTGTTCCATGTTATTGTATGGTACGCTATGATAGTGTTGCGAAGCTTGCGGCACGGTTTTTCTTTCTTTATGTATATCTGCATTTAAAAAATTTTTGTATTTAGCAATTTCTTCTGTATTTTGCGGTTCTGTTTCTGAATGTGTTCTTTTTGCGCTGCTTGGCCCTGCTGTTTCCAATATTGTATTTTCTTCTAATATTTCATGTACAGAATTCGCCTCAAGCATTTCCTCAGTAGGCGAATTGTTCGTCGATTGTTCGTCATTTCTATTGTTCTTTCTTTTTGAGTTACTTTGAGTTACACTTTCCATTGCTATTATCGTTTATAAAAAAAAAGGAAAATGTCAATAACAATAAAAATATTTTGTACTTCCTGTATCTCTGATATAGGAAGAACATTAAAACAGATTTTCGTAATTATTGATTACATGTATCTAGAAAAAAGAAAGTAGGAATTATGGAAGGAAATGGAGGCTTGCAAACATGGAAAGAACAGTTTTGTTGAATCTAAAAGTTCGACTAAATACATATCTGAAAATAATTCAAATTATTAAGTATAAAATTATTATGTAAAATAATTTTGATAGTCCAACAAAATTATTTTCAGATCTGTATCTAGCCAAATTTTTAAAATTTTTGCCAACAAAACTGTTTTATCCGTATACAAATATAAATGGTATAGAATTATAATATTAAAATATAATATTAAATTATAATATTAAATAAAATTAAATAAAACTCTTCAATTTTATAAACATATTTGAAAATATATTAAAGGAATAATATAATTAATAAAAAAACAGAGGTACAAAATAAATTGAAACAGAGACAATTTCAGAGAACAAATCCAAGCACGTGTGTACTACTTAATTCAGAAAATTTTAATGAAAATTTCAGATAACAAATTCAAACAGCCAAGCAATCCTGCTGACTGGTATGTACTGCTTACTGGTTAAACCTAAAAGTCTAACGTTAAGTAAATACATAACATGCTTACATAAATCAAGGGAATTGTCCTTGACTTGTAACATATTCGTCATATTATAGAATATTCTGTATCTTCATATTTTCATGTTATTAAAATATTCTAAATTAAATTATAATTACCTTCTCATTATTATATGTTTTAAAAATTATTATTTTGCTGGCTAAAATTTTTAGATTGTTAAATTATTCTTTTAATATTTTTACACGACACAATCGATACATATCGACACATATCGATACATATCGACACATAGCGATAGATATGTATGATTGAAACTGATTTTACTGATCGTGCACTAATGCTAGCCATCACGAGTCTCTTGAAGTCGACGGAAGATAACGCCACCATGATGTTAATGTATTAATTTCTTTCCCACAGAAGATTTGCAATCATTTGAATCTAACAAATTCTTTGAATCAATGCTGCGGATGTTTTTATATACATTTACACATCATACATGCATTTTGTAAATAATAATTCTATTCGAAAAAAATAGAATATTACCTAATCTTTTCTTCTTTTGATTCCTTGATTTTCTTAGTGGATTTCCGACTCATTTGAATGTTACAGTCACAGTTGTCATTTCTTTTTAAAAACAAAAATGTATGTCATTATCTTCAAATATTACTATTTTAATACCTTCCATAATTTTCATTATATTATATATCGTATATATCTTTTCCATTGTATTATATATCGTATCTTCCAAATTTCTTTATTAAATATTAGTCGTTTTATTTTTATATTTTATATACTTTCTTCTTCAGCTTTCTTTTTTTTCTTTGATTTTTTCCTCTTTTCTTACTTTTATGATTGTTCCCATAACTCTTCTTTAATTTTTCTCATCCTGGCATATTTACAGTTTCATCTAAATTCTTCTGCTTAAATGATCTTTTAATATACTCCTTTTAATATACTCTGTACTCTGTTTTTTCTCTATTCAAATCTCTCTATTTCAATAATGTCAAATTCTTTTATGTATTCTCAATAATTCTGTATCTTTATTATCTAATTCTAGGATATTTCAAAAATCCATTTAATCTTCTTTTTTTTGAAAATTATATTTCTTTTTATTTCTATTTTTTTTCATGCTATTTAATCATTTAATTATGTTAAACTACGTTTCCTTTTTTTTCTTCTTATAGCTTTTATTTCCGCGAACTCTGTTACTAAAAGTGACTGCATTTCTTCCTCTTTGAGTCATTATTTATAAGTCTATGGAATTCAACAAACTTGATTTGTTACTTGGTTTCTTTCAAATTTATAAATAATCATCAAGAGATGATCGAGTGAGGATCAGGTTTTGAAGTTTAGACTATTAGTCAGCCTCTTCCACGGAATCACGCATTACAATTTTACTATTTAAACTTAAGAAAGAGATAAAAAAGACCTGATAGGATACCAAAAACTGATTTTTATTTATATA